AGTCCAATTCAGGGACCTCTCTTTCTGCTTCCCTTTTTTCCTCCCGATTGCACTACAATCTGATCCTTCTAAAATGAAAACTGACTATGTCACTCCCTTGTTTGAAATCTTTCAATGGGTCCCATTACCAACAGGATAAAATCCGAGTTCCTTAGCATTAAAGACATCTAGATCTGAACCTGTCCAACTCTCAGCTCATGTCTTGCCTCACACTTTTGGTTCAAGCTATATTTAGTCCTTATAATCCTTTGTACCTGTTTACCTTGTTTTTCTGTTCATTAATTTGCTTGAAATAACTAAAACTCTCTACTTTCCTAAGGTGCTCTTTGACCTGAAGAGCTTATAGTACTTTGGACGTACTGGCATTGTTTCACTTACCACAGAGCCTAGAAATACTGCATTATCTCCTACCTTAGAATATAAGGTATAGCCCAGGGCCTGTCTTATTAATTTTTGTTACCCATAGGAATAGCACAGTGCTAAATTCAAAAGGCTTTAATAGTTAAATGCATTTTGTCCAATTGCTGTTTTGCTAGTTTTGATGCTTCGTTTTATTTTCATTTACTTTTTGAAATGTTCATTATTGATCTTAGAAAAAGTATTAGTGTTTATTAATATTACATCACATCAGAACCGAGTATCCTATCAATTATATCTTCCTCCATAAATAGCCAAATTATTGCTGGGTTCTAAAACATGGGGTCACCATGCACCAGAATCAACTTGATGGCAATGGGTCTTGAAGTTACACGGAAGAAGTGTTGGCTTTAGAGATGATTAAACTATATCTCTGAACCTAGAACAAACCAAGAAGTTAAATCATTTCAAAATGTGCAAAGTGATATCCTCTTCAAGTTAACAAGGCTTCTTACAAAGCTCCTTAAAAAGGTTCACAAGTTCTACACACTATATAAACACACAGGTGACAATCAAATAAAAATTAGCAATATCAATTGTAAAATGCTATTCAGCAAAAGCTGGAATTCCATATGGCAGCTTGGCAGGCAATCAGTCTTCAAATTCTCAGGATTCTTTGATTGCTTGATGACTTTGGGCATCTCATATTCTACTTGGCTGAGAGCACAGGTCAGAGGACATGAAAGTCAATAATCGTTTACTCAACAATGCATTGTGTCGCTTCAGGTATATTATGATGTCTCCTTGTTTTTCAACAATTTCTTCTAGGCTAGAAATAGTCCTACAAATCAAGACATGAATGGGTTATACATATCCACCAATATTCATACATCTCTTTGCAAACAGATCAATACTAATTTTCATAATGGTACATTGTATTTGGAGTGCTGGTATGGTGCTACAGGCTAATGTGCTGGAGGGCAAGGTTGGTTTGAACTGCAAGTTCAATGGTTCAAGATCACCTGCTATTCCTCAAAAACCCTATACAGGGTTGCTATGGGTTGGAACTGACTCGATGGCACTTAACTGCCGGGGTCTGACCTCGACATAGTTGTCACGAGTTTTTGGTTCACGAGGAGGGGAGATCCAGCGGCGATAGGGATAGCGAAAGAATACACAGACAAACAGACCACTCCACCTTTCATTATCCTACTTCTACAGTCATTTTACCCATCTGAGTGTGAACTACTATTTCTATCCATTTCCAAACATATATACAAAATTCATTTTTTTAACCTAAGTAAGACGTATGACATTATACATACATATTATTCAACAACCTGCCATTTTCACTTAGCAATATATTCAAAACATTGTTTCATGTTAGTCTATATACAATTACATCATTTCTTTTTTTAAAAAAATAATATGCAGTATTTTCTTTCCTTAGAAGAAATCTGAGGGCAATGAAAAAGCGGAAAGAATCAACTCAATTCAAATAGAAGTTTGGTTTGAATTCCTGGTAGAAGAAAGAGGACAGTAACAGATGCCTGGCATTAAAATTCACTATTCACTGTGGCTCTCACTTTTACATCTGATGTGGCACTCATTGATACACAAACTTTCTCACCAGTGCTATGGGAGGTAGATTCTAGATTGCAGTGTTAGAGGAGTAAATGGCAGAAAGAACCCAAAGTATACTAGCCAATATTTCTAATATATATAAACCAAGGACTACCTTTAATATACTAGGCAAGATTCTATTTCCTTAAAAAATATATATTCCAGGAGAATAATAAGCAAATTTTTAAATACACACATCTCAAAAGATTTATGAAAAGATTACACATATATTTTTTAAATCCCAACAATTAGTACTCAAAGAAATGAAACTTAAAACATTATTTTTAATCCACTAGAAAGAGCCAAGATTATAAAGAGATTAGTAACACCCATGACTGGTGAAGACACAGAACAAATTGGTATAATCATTGGTAGTGGGATTTCAAGTTTGTCTGTTTCTCTATATTTTTCACTATTGTCATTTTTTTTAAATGAGCTTAATTATATAATAAACCATGACACTAGT